TTATTTTTACTCTCTTAATTATCATGTTAAAAACAATTACTAAAAGTGGGCGGGTGGGGTCTATCTTATCTATGAAATAAATAATCTCTATAGATTGCTTATTTCTTTGAGCATATGAATTCTGATATTAAATTGATGTTATAACTTTCTTATAGGATAAGAATAGGTTCTATATATGAGAGTATCACAGATAAGTGTGATCAAATATAAAATGAGTATCCATTACTCCACTAGTGGGGTAATATGGATACTCATTTTATATTACTCCACTAGTGGGGTAATATGGATACTCATTTTATATTACTCCACTAGTGGGGTAATATGGATACTCATTTTATATTTGATCACACTTATCTCTTCATGTATTTAAAATGCCAAGTTTTATTGGGTAATTGCCAGTTTTCTTTTTCTCGCTGATACAGTCTTCTTTTCTTCTCTTCTTCTTGCAACATTGATTTACCGCATGATGGAGCAAGGTAATATGCTGTTTTTATGTTTTTCAAACAAAGATTTTTCCTGTAAGATATGTACGTACTCCTGTTTCATCTTAATCAAAGAAACAATGTGGTCTATCAAATTAATTACTATGGAATAATGTCTTCTCATATAACTTAAAATATCCGTAATATTGTAAAGAAATATCTTTAGCTCTTGCTTTCGTCAAAAGTTCAGGTTTTCTTTTCCCAAGAACTACATTCCATCTTTTTTAAGAGTTAACCACCATTTTTTCCTCGTCAGTCATCTTTAATGGAATTTATTTCGTAGTTAATGTTATATAGGATTTAGCCATCAGTTTGATATCTTTTCAATCTTGAGGAAAATCCTTATCAGCTAAGTACATCAGGGCTTCTTATAGAATTTTTTATCAGTATTGTTTAAAACAAACCAACAACCACTTCCAATTTATCTGGATTTGATCACAGGATTTTCTATAAAATGTCCCATAAAGTACTTGAAAATTTATTCAGTTTTATTATTTTATCTGAAATATTATAAAATAAACTAAGTTAAAAGAAATATAAAAAGAAAATTTAAAACATTTAGATGGGAGTTAAGGGTTTACCCAAGCCATTCATCAATATGAATGCGAACTATAATCTTAATAATGTATAATACTATTTTAAAAACTGAAAAATGTATAATACTATTTTAAAAAGCAAAGATGAGCATAAATATGTACATAATTTTATTATAAAATTCTATAATATTAGTAAGATTTTATATATTTTATATATATATCCATTTTACCCCATTATCATTTTACCTGTATTTTTGTTTATTTGTTAATATGGGTGAAAGAATTTATAAATTAAATTTGTGCATGTTGTTATATCATGTTTTAATGAATAAATTTACATTATTGTACTTAGTTACGTATTATTACTGAAGTCTGTAGACAAGTTTCAAAGTAGGGTTGTTAACCGGAGGATTTCGTGCAATTCCGGAAAAACAACATTCTTTCGTAAGGAGATTGAGAACACGGAATTTCATTTTTTCGTACCGAATGTTACAAAACATTTAAAATCGCCGATGTTCATTTTGCAAAAGCCACTTCCGAAATTTAGCATTTCGCAAGTTGACATACGAAACAAAACTATTTTGCAACATACGAAAGTAGCGGTTTCGGAAGTCGCACTTGCGAAACAAACATTTTCGCCAAACGACGTTTTGAAGTCTATAAAGAAAATTTGTTTGCCAGACTGATTTTAATTGTAAAAATTAACATCTTTAAATCCCAAAATGTTTATAATGAATTTTTATTTTCAGTATAATAATTATTAAGTTTTTATGGTTTTATTTTTAGAAATATTGATAAAAAATAAAATTTTTTTCGAAACGAAAGTATTTCGGATCACAACATACGAAAGAATTCTTAACGGAAATAAACTTACGAAACGTGCCATAATAAATAAATACAACGATGTTTTTTGAACTCATTACGTATATTAAAAATAAGAATAATGGGTAGGAATATACATGTTTTTTTTTTAAAGCATATGAAATTTTTGAAACAGGTTCGAATATGCTTAAGCAAATAGTAAAAAGAGGCTCAAAAATATGCTTTAGCTAAAGCATATTTCTGATAAAATATAACTATTTCAATAATTTCTAAAAGTGTGCACGTTACTAAAGTTCTAGCAGATTTTAAAGGTATGTAGAGTCCTGTTTGAATACGCTTTTCGAAGTATAGATCTTAGAAAATATTGTTTTTTAATTTTAATAAGATATAAATTTGAGTATAAGATTGTATAGTTCAATCAGTTAGATATGTGATAATTCGCCGCAGAGATCCGGGTTCGCATCCCGCAGCCATTGTAACTTTTGTTCATCAAATTCTTTTTACTTAAGATAGCATTTTTTGACCTCCATGTTCTATATAACAGATCTTTCGTCACCTTCACAATAGTGACAACCTCTCTTCTGTTAGTTATTCTTTTAAGATTGAGTTCATTGTGCTTAATTCAACACGTTTCCCTTGCTTTACTAAGTTCTACTTAAATTATGATGAAATGTACGTAAAACAACTTTTTCAAATAATATAAATCATTTCGCTTTAAATCTTTTGCTTTTTGTACTAGACATCTGTCCTAAATACTTTGTAATAATTTCTAGCTAACTCTGAGTCTAATATAACCATTTCTGAATATAATTTCCCTGAAGCTCCTACAGCCTATTGTGTTCCATTAAAAGTAACTAGTCCAGATATTAATTATAAGCATCTAAAGGTTCACATTACTATTCATTTACCTGATATATAGAATCCTATTTGCATACGTATCTCTTTCTGTAAATTCTGTTTTATATAGTTTCTTAATTATATATTAAATAAATATTATTACTCACTTAGTTGAATGAACGTATAGCTCATTCAGTTAAGACATTTGGCCGCGTAGACCCAGGTTTACATCCCGCTGTTTCACATATATTTCTTCTCTTTTTAGTCTTTCTGATATCATTTACCTTTAGAGAGATCTCTCGTTCTTTATAATAAAGTATTTAATTGTTTATCACACATCCTCTTTATACTTTTTAAAAAGAAAGGCATACTGTTTATCTGTTCATTGAGAGTCCAACTTAACGGGATTTTACTGTATATATATGTATATATATTTATATATATATATATATATATATATATATATATATATATATATATATATATATATATATATATATATATATATATATATACATTTATATACAGTAAAATCCCGTTAATGTATATATATATATATATATATATATATATATATATATATATATATATATATATATATATACATTTATATACAGTAAAATCCCGTTAATGTATATATATATATATATATATATATATATATACATTTATATACAGTAAAATCCCGTTAATGTATATATATATATATATATATATATATATATATATATATATATATATATATATATATATATATATATATATATATATATATATATATATATATATACATTTATATACAGTAAAATCCCGTTAATGTATATATATATATATATATATATATATATATATATATACATTTATATACAGTAAAATCCCGTTAATGTATATATATATATATATATATATATATATATATATATATATATATATATATATATATATATATATATATACATTTATATACAGTAAAATCCCGTTAATGTATATATATATATATATATATATATATATATATATATATATATATATATATATATATATATATATATATATATACATTTATATACAGTAAAATCCCGTTAATGTATATATATATATATATATATATATATATATATATATATATATATATATATATATATATATATATATATATATATATATATATATATATATATATTAGGTATATTTGTATAAACATTTGAAGAATCATTTGACAACAATATTTTATAATTTTTATTATTTATTATTTAAACTGTTAACAGTTAATATCTTAAATATATCGTAACATCAAATCTTTTGCGTCTTTTTCCTAACTACACATTCCGGAATGCTTTTCCCGTAAGGAACTATTTCGTAAGTATTCTTACGAAATGATTTGTTTCGCAAGTTTTCTTTCGCAATGCTTTATTACGGAATTTTATTTACTATTTATATTTTCGTATAGCGCGTTACGGAATGTGCATTTTTGCATGTGCAACTTCCGCAATAACAATTCTATTACGGTAGATAAAGATGCGAAATTTTCGCAAGTTTTGTTTTTCGGCGAACAACCCTATTTCAAAGCATATTTTTTTAAATGTTTTTTTAAAATTTTACTATTTTTATATAAATTTATATAAATTTTAATATTTATATAAATTTTAATATTTTACATTTTATCTATTCATGTAAATCAAATATAAACATTGTTAATGCAAAAGAAAGAAGCTAATTATATGTGAAAACTGTTTATAAATTTCAGGTTTTAGCATTTTTTAAAGATAAATTACTCCATGCCTATTTATTGAATTATCCATATTACCCCAACAATCCATATTACCCCACCCTACCTTAAATAAAAACGGCATTACCATTTTTTTAAGCGCTGACGGATAAAGCATAGAAAAAAATGTTTTATAGAGTATATTTTGTGTATTTAGGTTTTTTACGGTATAAACGTAATAATTAGTAAAATATGGATGTGATGAGTAAAACTTTCAAATGTTTAATTGCTTGTTTTGTTAGTGAAATATTGTTAAAATTCCTAATTTAAATTAATAATCATTTCAACACTATTCAACATTTTCAAAAGTATGTTTTCCGTCAGTCTAGATTTTTTACAACGATTTTAAAATCATGAAATGGTTGTATTTTTACTTTCATTTTTTATTTGCTTGAGCAATTTCTGGAAATATTTCAATTAATTGCATTTTTGTAAAAGGTGTCAATAATCTTTAAATTTGTTTTGAATTCGACCAAGTTTAATAAAGTAAAAGTTTAATAATATCAATTTCTTTATTTTAGAAAATATTTTAAATTGTGAGTTTTATGATTTTAGGTCCCCTTTCTTTGAATCACTCATAAAAAATGGCTGGTGTCATATACTAATACCTTTATTAAAAATTGAAGACTTTGATACTAAAGAAAAGGTGATGCAGTCAATAGAGATTTCAGTTAAAGAATGCAAGAAGGAATGGATTGATGACCAAACTTTAAGTATATTAGATGAAATATCTCTTAGCCTTAAAAAGGATTATGAATTAGAAGAAGATGCTGATTTAAAAAACTATATTGCTGATTTAAGAACTATACTGAACGAGAAGATAATAAAACTTTTGAAAGAAGTAGAAGTTTAGAATTTTTATGTTGAGTTTTTTTTTCAAAGCAATTTTTTTTATATGCAGATTATATTTGAGAGTTATAATTGTATTTCTAGCGTTAGATGGTAAACATTTGTGGTGTATTGTGGTGGTAAACATTTTGGATGTTTGTGGTGTATTGTGGGTGTACAGTTGAATTTTGAGTTTTATATTGTTAAATAGAATAGCTATTTAAAAAATAGTCGGTATATGCAAACTTATTGTAATTGTGGTGTAATTGCGGTGGTAAGTATTTGTAGTGTTATCGTATTTGTGTTGTTTCCTGTTTATACTTATTTAAGTTAATAATATCAAGTTATATGTTTTATACTATTTATTGTTCATAGCTATAAAAAAAAAAAGAGAAAACATTACAATGAATGAAATTTAAATCAATGGGTCCGTTTATTTAAAGTACGCTATTGATTTACACAATTTATTTTCTTTTTTCTCGTACTACCTGTTTATAGTGTGTGTTATGGAAGAATTGATGCGGAAGGTTTGTATTGCTTAACAGTAGCGCTCAATGTTCAGTACGTCGTACCTGATGGTAGCAAGCACTGTAGAATACGCATTACCTAAGTGCTAATCACTGCACAGTGTTTCCTACCTGCTAGGTACTGAACACTTAAGGTACTGTGTACTAACAACGAAAAAAAAATTATTTTTATAGAAAATGTTTTTTGTTTTAAATTTATTCCTTTTTAATAATTTCATAAAAGTTTATAGTAGAAATTAAATTAATGACATGACTTAGGATACTAGATTCGTAGCGTCTTTTTGCTGCTTGTAATCACATTATGGTTATAAATGTTTTGAAATAAAAGATATTATAGAAGATTACTAACCTAATATATTAATACCTAATTCTATAGTGTAAGAAATGTGGAGCACACAATTTCCGGAAATTTTCAAAAAATTTTTTAGCAATAAACTTCATAGTTATACAGTTTTATAAAATTCATTTCTTTGTCTCAAAAATATGTATTTTATAATCGTAGTATTTAGGTATTCTTTAAATATTTCAACAAAAAATATAAAATAAAGACCTACAAGCAAAATATGCACATCTTTTATTAAAATTTTTATAGTCAATTTAAGAATAGCGCATTTTTTTAAAAAACAATATAAGGCTCAAATTAGTATATGTTACTTTTACTTACATTACTTTTGTAAAACTTTAAAAGTAGCAGCTTGTCTTATGAGCTTGTGTATAACATATCTAGCTTTTACTTCTCTTAACTACGATTTAAACTATTCATAAAAAATACAAAGAATAAAGTCTTATTTAGAATTTTATTTTGTATTATTTTTGTAGAGTGTTTTAAAGAAAAAAAGATTTTTATGCGGACACATTGCATGCAAAGATGATTTTAGGGGGAGGGTGTATGGGGGAAAGGGATGTTTTACCCCTTTTCAAAAAAAGTGATTTTTAAGTTATAGTCGGTTTATTGACAAATTTAGTCGGGTATTTGACACATTTCATTCGGGTGAATTTTAATTTTTAAGAACCTATTTTACTTTAATTTTTTTAGAAACGGTACTTTTTACGAATTTCTCCCTCCTCCCCTCATTTTTTAATATATTGATTTCAAAGTCTAAAGTCTCTTAGCAAGGTTGTGGCGAGTGAGACTTTTTTTTAATTTTGGTACCCCATGATGTCCTTCACAGAACACCGCTGAAGCACATATATTTTAGTTCTTTATTTTTATTGGTAACTTTATTTTTAAATAGTTTAAATTTAGCAAATTTTCTTTCCTTTTTGCCTTTCATTAAATAATAACGTCTTTAATTCAAGAAAAAATTGTAAAATACTGCATATATTTATATCAAATCTTTTTATATATAATTTTACAGTTTTCAGTAATTTAACGGTCAATTTAATAGATATTAACAAATACGGCAATGAACATCAGTATGCATAGCAAACAACAGGATAAAACAGTTCTAGAAAATTTTGAAAACAAATGATCATAGTTGCTACTTATTGTTATAATAAAAAAAAACTTAAAAAAATATCAAAAAAAGTGTTTTTCAAAGGGGGTTTTCTAAAATTTGTATGATCTGCTTAATAGAATTTTACCATAAAATTGTTCGTAACAACTACCTAACTAAGACATAAAATTGTACCCATTAATTATAAAATGACTTTTTTTTTTTAGAAAATTTTCCGAGTTGAAAATTTCCGGAAATTTTGCAACCCTAGAATTGAAAACCACATTTGAAACCAAAACTGAGCTTTATTAAAAACAAAATTGGCGGGTTTTTTTGTATGAGAGAGAAGTTGCAATGTTTTTAATTAAAGAAGGTTATTTAGCATAAATTGTCTCTCAAGGATCTATTCTCACATATTCTCTGATAGATATAAAAAGCGCTAACTTTGAAAATTTTCGATATTTTTCAGTAATCTCGATATTTTTCAGTAATCTTGATATTTTTCAGTAACCAGTTTTAATAAATCCTTTCAACTCAAGCTTTCAACAAGAACGGACGCACTTTTTACCTCGTGGCGAAAAAAAAAAAAAAAAAAAAAAAACTTTTTATTTATTATAAATAAAGACGTATCTTTAATAAAAATTTTAACGTAATAATATGGCTGTAACACTTCCAGAAATAAAGAAACTTTTAAAAGAAATGTTCAAAGAATTTAAAAAGGAAACGGAAGAAATGTTTCAAAAGCAAGAAAAAGCAGTTCTCGATATTATTGGGGCTAACATCAAAATAATAAACGATAGATTTGAAAAAGTAGAGAAAAATGTTGATGGAAATGCAAATTGTATAAAGAAATTAACAAAAGAATTAGAAGATATAAAGGTAAGCCTTAATTTTAATGAAGGACTTATTGACGAAAAAATAGTTACTAACAACAAATATCTAGATAAAAAAATGGAACATACAAAAATAGATAATGTATTAAAAGAAAAACAACGAAACTTAGAAGATCGATCGCGCCGAAACAATCTTAGGATTGAAGGAATTTACGAGAATGATAAAGAATCATGGGGGGATACAGAAAAAAAAGTCCAAACATTCTTCACCGAAAAACTTGGACTAAAAGATGTTGAAATTGAAAGAGCTCACCGCACTGGACGAAAAAACGATGGACGACCAAGGACTATAATATTAAATCTTCAGAAATATAAAGACAAAATAAGAATATTAAAGGAATTGTATCGACTCAAAGGCACAAATACGTTCGTGAACGAAGATTTTTCTCGAGAAACCGTCGCTATTCGAAAAAAATTGTTCGCTGAAGTGAAAGAAAGGCGATTGAATGGTGAAAGTGTTACGGTAAGGTATGACAAAATTGTTTATATTAAAACTTCTTTTAAAAACAATTTTAACGAATAATTTTATGGGCATTCCTAAAAAGAAATCTTAAATAAAATATATTAATCATGGCTACAAATGAAAACTTTGAATCTCGTGTTTTTAAAATTCAAAAAACAAATTACTCTACGTTAAATGAAAATTTAGACTCTGATTACAATATTTATCACAATAAATTTTCAGATTGTTCATATTACTTTCCTAGCCAACTAGAAGGGTTTCTTTTTAAGAATGAGAATGAAAGAAATAATAATCAAATGTTAATTCTCCACCTCAATATAAGAAGCTTAAATAGCAATTTTGAAAAACTTTTAGACTTATTAGAAGAAACTAAACATGTTTTTAATATAATTTGTTTAACAGAAACTTGGATTTCTTTAGAAGACCTAAATAATTTTCATCTACCTCATTTTAATACATTTTTAATGGAAAGGAAAACAAATAAGCGCGGTGGTGGAGTTTTAATTTATGTTCACGAAAATTTTGAGCATTGTATTAGGCATGATTTGAGCGTTTCAGACTGCGATAAAGAAATTGCAACTATAGAAATTACTAACTGCAACAAAAAAAAATTTTTACAAAGCTGTTGTTATCGGCCACCTGATGGCGTAAGCGAAAACTTTAGCATGTTTTTACAACAAATTATTAAAAAAGGTACCGTTGAAAAAAAACAAAATTTTATAATTAGAGATTTAAACATGAATTGTTTTCTTTATAATGATAACCTTAAAGTTAAAAATTTTTATGATGAAATTTTTGAAACGGGATCAGTATCTTTAATAAACAAACCTACAAGAGTAACGACAAATTCAGCAACTCTAATAGATAATATAATAACTTCAGATATTTTCAACAATGATTTAAAAGTAGGTATTTTGCGAACCGATATATCAGATCATTTCCCTATATTCCTAAAATTAGATAATACAAACTCTGAAAAAACTTTAACCGCACAAAGAGTAATTAGAAAACGCATTTATAATGAGGCTAACCTTAATTTATTCAAAAATCAACTTTCATTACTACACTGGAATAACATAAATTTTAATGATAATGCTAACAATATCTATGAGTCTTTTTTCAAAACATTTTTTTCTGTATACGATGCTAACTTCCCAATCATTGAAAATAAAATAACTACTAAGAGCTTAAATACACCCTGGATCACTAAGGGCTTTAAAAAATCGTCCAAAATTAAGCAAAAACTATATATAAATTTTTTGAAAACAAAAACACCTAAAAACGAAAAAATTTACAAGGACTACAAAAACCTATTTGAAAAAATTCGCAAAAATCTAAAAAAAAATTATTACTCCCAATTACTCAATACATTTAAAAATGACACAAACGCACATGGCAAATAATGAATGAAATTATTGGAAAACAAAAATCATGCTCAGGTTTTCTGCCACAAATGGTTAGAGTCGATTACAAAAGTTTATACGAACCAAGAACTATAGCTCAAGAATTTAACAAATTTTTTATCGATATAGGTCCAACACTTTCTAAAAAAATCCCAAACACCAAATCTTTATTTACTGATTTTCTAGTACCCATTGATAATTGGATTGGTTCAGTTGAGTTGTCTTCTGAATTGTTGTTTGAAGAGTTTGAAAGAGCCTTCAAATCTTTAAAAAAAAATAAAGCAGTTGGAGCAGATCAAATAAATGGAAACGTTATTATAGATTGTTTTGAACAGCTAAAAGTTGTTCTTTTTAAAGTTTTTAAAGCTTCTATCCATCAAGGTGTTTTCCCCGAACTGTTAAAAATTGCCAAAATTATTCCTATTTTTAAAGAAGGGGACAAATCAATTATAAGTAATTATCGCCCTATTTCTGTTCTTTCCTCTTTTTCAAAAATTTTAGAAAGAATTATATATAACAGAGTATACAAATATTTTCATGTTAATAAATTACTTAACATTAATCAATTCGGTTTTAAAAAGGATAGCTCAACTGAACATGCAATTATCCAATTTGTACGGGAAATCTCAAATTC